TTTTTTTTTTTTAGTTTGAAATTAGTTTAATTAAATTTTCTTACACTATATAAAGGAGGGCATAGCTTGCTGAATTAGGGAAAAGTGTTATGCAATGTTTGGTAGACTAATAAGCTAGCATAAAATTTATTTAATTAACTTATTAGCTCCCTGTATTCAAATAACTCTTGTTTGGTAGAACGAGCTTTTTTAAAAAGCTCGAGCTTATTTGATAAACTTCCTTAGGTAGCTTTTCAAATAATCTAGTTGAATTTTTTATTCCAGCTAGCTTATCAGCTAATTTTACCAAACACTTTTTTCATATAAGCTAGTTTATCAGCTATAAGTCTAAAAAATTACTAATAAACTATAAGATAACTTAACAACTATTAGCTTATCAGCTAGTTTTACCAAACATAGCCTTAGTAATAATACTACCTTCTATTTTTAATATATGTCGTTTCGATAAGTTGCACACTAATTAACAATATTTTATTTTGTTAATAATAATCTTATTTAATTAAGATAGAGAAGAATGCTTTGAGAAAAAATGAAGAGTTAATATGAAAAAAGTAATGTATTTATTAGCTCAATGAGGATAATAATGGAAAAATATGTACAAAAAATCCAAAACGACATTTATTAAATAGTTGATAAAGCCAAAATGACATTTAAAAAAAAAATAGAAGAGAGTAATAAATAATATATCACAAATTATACTGTGTGTGATCTAATAAATGCATTATAGGCTAGTCAACTGCTATATTTTCTAAATAAAGATGTATATTTATACCGTAAATCGTCATATTATGTTTAAGTTACTTTTTAAAACATTTTTTAATATAGAGACATTGGATCAGTTGTTAGTTAAGTCGATCTAACCGTTAGGCCAGACATAATTATGCATAATTTCATTACAATATATAAGTTATATTGTGAAGAAATATGAATACAAATATCTCGATACAGGTATTCATTTATTTATTGCCATTGTGATATGACGAATCAACTAGCCTAATATCGCACTGACATAAACAACATGCTTAATAATTTTTAAATAAGTTAACCATGAGGTCAAATGAACCTTTAATTACCATTTTCCACCAAAGTCAACAATTTGATTTGGAAAAAAAAAAAAAAAGAAAAAGAAAAGAAAAAAAGTTACATATTCTATAATTTCTTCACATCTTTCTACCCCAAACAAGTAGCTAGGGCTAGCTAACCACAAGTAGAAACTTCTCAAACCATGGTTAGTAAAGCCCCCATGCAAAAACTGCAAAACAATAAAAGTCTTACTCACAAAAATCAAAGTCCTCAAAGCCAAATCCCATCATTATGATTGAGAGCCAATAGCTCATTCTGACAAAGTCATCATTGAACATCTGCATATTGTATCTATACACACACCTATACATACACACAGAGACATATATGTTACATGTAGGTCCTGCCCTATATTATCTTTCTTTAAAATATAGGCCTAAGAAAAATTATTAATGTAATAAATAAATAAATAAAGCTGTAACTCCCATCTGCTAAAAGGCAAAAAAAAAAAAGTTGAAAATTTATTTATAATAATAATAATAATAATAATAATAATAATTAAGAGAAAAGGAGAAAAAAGACCAGCCCATTTCTCCTCATTTTGTCCCCCTTTTGTTTCTCATTGTCTATATAACTCACAAAGAGGGGTGAAGTAAAAAAGCTTGTCTGGTTTTCTTTTCTAGAGAGAGGAGAGAGAAGAGATAGATAGAGATAATAGAGATAGAGAGAGAAAGTAACTAGTGAGGAAGATGGGTGAACAAGACGATGGATTGGGGTTGAGCCTGAGCTTGAGGTGCCCGGAAAATCAGAATCACGACCGTCCATCGCCGCTGCCGGCTGCTGCCTCCTTCCCCCTGAACCTTTTCCGGTCGCCGCTACCTTTCATTTCCGGCCAGCATAGAACAGCCGGTAAACAACCCTTTATCTGAAATCTGTTAAATTTTACTTTTATGGCTTCAAGATCGAATTTTGACGGTCAGTGTGTGAAATTTCAGATCTCCGGCCGGGGCCCTCCATGCCGTTTTACCGGGGTATCGACGTGAACCGGCCGATTACGGCGGCGGAGTGCGAGGAGGAGGTCATGGCGTCGTCGTCTCCTAACAGCACGGTGTCGAGCCTGAGCGGGAAGAGGAGCGAGCGGGAAGAGAACGACGGTGAGAGGGCGTCGAGCTCTTTGGAGATCGACGACGACGGCGGCGACGGGGCCGCCGGGAGGAAGAAGCTCCGCCTGTCCAAGGACCAGGCGGCGGTGCTCGAGGAAACGTTCAAGGAGCACAACACACTGAATCCGGTGAGTCTTGTTTTTCCCCTGTTTTTTTTCTTTTTCGCCAGCTAGGGTATTTTGGGAATATTAGAATATTCACTTGCGAGTTATCCCACATTCTATATAGGGAAAATAGACATAATTTATAAGTCTAATGAACACAACACACTGAATATTAGAACTTCATTTGGGTTTCATCTGAGCTTTTCTGGTCTTGGTGCGCATCATCTGCATGAGATTGTATCCATTTATTCCCCGTTTCTTGATTTGTCAAAATTTTGTTTGCGAATGATTATTTTTGTTTATTTATGCTGTTTTTTGTTTGGGATTCATATATATGCAGAAGCAGAAAATGGCCCTTGCTAAGCAGCTGAATCTTAGGCCAAGACAGGTGGAAGTGTGGTTTCAGAACAGAAGGGCAAGGTTGGTAGTTTTTCCATTCTTCCAGGGGCATTTTCGTTATTATACTATTTTTTTCTTGGTTCCAGTCTGATACTGTTTCAGATTTCTTGTCACTTATGATAAATTTGGAAATTTTAAGTTTAATGAATGTTAGTCTGAGCCCTGAGGTACAAATATTTCACAATGTCACTTGTTTCCAGAATTGAATCTATTTTTTTTTTTCCAGTTTATAGAACAATTCTTCTAGCAAATAATATATTTTTTTCTTGTGACCATGTTAACAATGGAATCTGAACTAATTCAATTCAGGACAAAGCTGAAACAAACAGAAGTCGATTGCGAATATCTGAGACGATGTTGCGAGAATCTGACCGAGGAAAATCGACGGCTACAAAAGGAAGTTACCGAGCTCCGAGCACTGAAACTTTCCCCACAATTCTACATGAACATGAGCCCCCCAACTACCCTTACCATGTGCCCTCAATGTGAACGTGTGGCTGTCTCGTCATCCACGACAGCTGGCGGCTCAGCCTCTGCCGCTGGCCGCCAGCCATCGACGGCCCACCACCACCGGCCTCAGCCAGTCGGCTCGTGGGCTGCTGTGATTCCGCCACAAGCCCTTGATTCTCACCGCCCGAGAACGTGATTTGACTTGATTTTTGGTCCGAGTTTTCGTAAAATCATAATCTGACTTTGTTGTTCTATGTTGGTCCCTTTTGCTTTCCCAGATTGTTATATGTGGATTGTGTGTTGATCTTGGGGACTTTTTAATGTTGGGAGTGTGTTAGTAATTAGGAGGTAATATTTTCTAACCTTTGGATGGAAATTAGAAAGTTGAATGGTTTTTTGTGAAGGAGGTGAGTTTGTTTTTGCCTCATTTCTCTCTTCATGATTATGTTCTTTTGGCTTGCAGATTGATTGATTAGACTTTGTTTCATTATTTTTTCCAACTCTTGCATGAATATGCCAAATAATTGTGGTGATGATAGTCGATTTCGACTCTTCTATTGAGTCCACTGCCCATATCGAGGTCCAAGCTATCGGATCGCATGCAGCTAATGAGGGTAAGTATTGATCCAACGGTTTGAAATCAAGTGTTGGTATGTGAGTAGGCTTTTAAACGTGCTGAGCTAAGATCGATCTCAGGGTGTGCGAGCACGAACTCTAGCTCAAGCTCGAGTCTTTAACGAGCTGAGACGAGCTTGGTTCGTTAAATAAACGAACCTGAAATCGAGCCGAGACGAGCTCGGTTTGCTAAATAAACGAGCCTTAAATCGAGCTTGACCTCGGCTCGTTTATCACTAATAACGAGTCGGGTTCGAACCTTAAGTCGCTGATCTTGATTTTTAATAAGTCGTACAATAGAAAATTTTATAAATATTATCTTTTTGAGCCCTCTCGAACAGAGTCGAGCACGACTTATTAACCAAGTGATCTTTAAATGAGCTCGAGGATAAATGAGCCGAGCCCAATTGATCCTTAACGAGTCGAGTCGAATCAGACTCGTTTAGTTTAAGAGCATTATGCGTGACCATCGATTCGCATGCATCTAATGGGAGTATGTATTGATTCAACGGTTTGAAATCAAGTGTCCAAATGTGAGCTGTATTGATCTGATGTTTGGAATCAAGTGTCAGGTTTGGGTCTAGATGTGGGTTAAATCCACCTAAATCTTAGATCAAGATTATTAATACAATGATTTTATTCTATTGCTCTCATTGATATACTTATCTTCCTAACTAAACTGCTCTCATGAGTCATGACTCATCCCAACTCACTCAAAGCCAAAAGCAAGAACTGTATCTGCATTTTGGTGTGATAGGTTGAAAATATTGAACTGTCTATTTTAGCTTTTCTACTTTCTGGATTATTTCAGTCTTTACAGCTTTTTTTATTTTTTCTTTCAAAATATTATTTTATCATTTATTTACTTCTTTGGCAAATGAGTCAAACTGTAATCATTGGAGGGCTTGATGGATATTCTGACTGACTGTGAGGGCAACTGGTGAAAATTCAGATGCCTTTGAACATAAATCCAATTTAGTTTCTGGTCCTGTAAAAAGTAATTGTGGGAGAAATTGCATCCACAGCCCTACACTAATCAATTTTCAACATTTAGCCCAAAACTATTCAAAATTGGCAATAAGTGTTCCCCCCCCTTTATTTTCATTGAATTTTGAATGGCCTAGGAGGTACTAGGTAGTAATCATTCAAACCAGTCAGTGCCAATAAATTCATGGAATATTTGACAATAATTCTATATGTACTTGGTTGCCCTTTCAATTTTAAATCAGTTCACCAAAACAAGAAAGGGTTCTGACAGTTATAGGGACTATAATGTATTTGCCCTTTCAATACAAATATATGCTGATAACATTACTCTTTAAGTTACAAAGGGGAAGTTTTTTTGAACATACAAGAACATATCAATTGTGTTGTGATTACAGTACAAAAGCCATTGGATAATAAAATGAAAGGACAGAGTCAAGAAACTAAACAGTGTTAACTTTGTCGGCTAACGAGCGTAATATGCAACCTAATCCAGCTCTCTCTGTCAGTTTCTCATGAATTCTTAAGCACTGATCACAGGTGGGCCGATCTCCAGTCGATAAACCTCTATATAAGTACCTATAGAAGAACATATAACACTTTTGCTGTAACTTGTAAGTATATTAACCACTAAAGTTGACAAAGCTAAACACGTGCCGACGTGCGTGTATATGCTCGTTTGGTGAACCGAATATGATTCATACATAACAAGTTGAAGGGCCTTTGATGGAAAATTCTCGATAAAGATAAAGGGGTTTTTAGTATCACTGATTTCTCATAATGTCATATCCCACATTAGGAAATCAACTTAAAAATGCAAATCCACATTAAAAGGGGAGGGAAAGAACTGCCACAAGATTGTAAACAAAATTTGGTCATTTCAAAAGTAGAAAAGACTCTTCAAGAAGATAAGAAGTGAATGCCGAAGGGTAGGAGGATCACCAAAATCCAATTCGATTCTTCATCTATTCAAAATAAATTAAAAAAAAAAAAAATACAATAATTGTAATTTTATCAAGCTTATGTAAAACCAATATGCTAGACCAATTTGAAATAATGTGAGAGCGCACTTGATGATTACAAGGGCACACATACGGGTAACTTACTGAAGCATTGTGGCACGTTCATTATAACAGAACAGAAATTTCACGACTACTGATCCACTTTATCGTATCTAAATAATATCCTTAACTGTAATAACCAACTGAATATGATATTTGATGAGCACCTATGATTAAATAGTAAATATCAAATGGACATAAGGCCTAAGATTATACGTGCCGCTAGCAATAACCTTTTATATCTCATAAATACCAAATGTTCCATCACCGGACCTAATTTGTAAACCAAATATCACTCTTTTCCACTAATCATACGAGCATCGTGAACAATATTTCCAAACTTAAAATCAATTTTATAAAGAAGCTTTTATTACTTGAGTACGAGATTTGTATTGCATCAGCCAAGCACACAAAAAACGATTGAAGTAAGAATTAACAAGAAAGACACTTGAACACAGATATTGATACAAATAACATCATCAGAGGAGATTAGAACAACACAACAAGGTAAAGGCGTTCGACTTACTTCATGAGAACATCATAGTACTCGGGGTCAAGAGCTGAGAACAAACTATCAACATCTTTTATTGCCATTATTGCCCTGTGCACCACTATCCAATTTGCAGACTTGAAAAAAAAAAAAAAAAAAAAAAAAAAAAAAAAAAAAAAACAGATGTACGAATCAATATCATTTCATTAATACTAAAAAAATGTAAGAAGATAGGTCGAAGGACACACGAATACATAGGGAGATGAGACCAAAAAGTGAATCGAAGACAAGAACATAGGCAAGTTATGAACAATTTAACGATGGAAATGCATTTTTTTAACCTTACAGCGCTCGTCTTTGGTCATAGGCGGGGACCCTTCAAGAGCTGTCTTCAAAGCTTCCACTGGTTTGTACCTGAAATCCCACAGAATCGAGTGAATACCAAAAATCAAACTAACCCGAAAAAAAAAAAAATGCAATCTTGTGCTGTGTTCACCACAAAAGAACATTTTTATTTTTATTTTTCCCACAATTTGTGATTTTTTTTTTTGGAGGATTTTGTAAAAATCTGGTACTGTTTGAGTAAGCTCTCGATCTTGCGGGACTTGTGTTCGATTCTGATGATAATGGCTTCTGTGTTGTCCGCAAATTCTGCCATATTCGTGTAGGGTGCTTGTTTTTAGGATTTGATTTCAGCTAAAACAGATCAATTCTGAGACCAGAGTTCTGATTTAGGGTTTTTATTTTCCCCCAACTACTAAAATTGCATTTTAAAAGGATAAAAAAGGCTAATTTTACCAAACAACATAATTAGACATGGCCACGGGTCAACCGGCCCGGGCCTGGCCTGGACCCGGCTCGAACCCGGACCGGTCAAACCCGTTGACCACGGGTCCGGGTTAGTGCTGGCACGAAAAAAAAAACGTATGATTTTTTAAATTTTTCTTTTTTTTTTTTATAAGGGCGAGCTCAGACTGGAGCAGGGCCCGACCCGACACGGACCTAAGCCGTGCCGGTTCAAGGTCCGCCAAATCCAACCCGTCCGCCGGGCCGGGTAAGGATGGCAGCGGTTCGGGTTCGGATCGGATGGAACCTCAGGGCATCCAAAACCAAAACTCAAACTTAAAAACCAAAACCAAAACCAAAATTGTTTCGGGTGAAAATCCTTCACCAAAACCAAAACACGCGGATACCCAAAAACCAAACGGATACCCAAAAAACCAAAATATTATAATAAAACACCAAAGACAACAACATAAAACATGATAACTTAGAGAGTACCAGGCTACCAGTCACAAATTAGCAAGTACCAACGTACACTACAAGCCATAAAGGTAGTAGAGTACATAGCTAAGCCAAGCCATCACGGGAGACGGGGAGAGGATAAGAGGGAGAGGAAATTTCCACTTATATAGCTAGGGTTTTGGTGGGCCTTTTGATGGGCCGTCTATTTTGGGCACCCAACGGAGCACCACGGGCGAAATATACGATCCGCACCAAAACCGAAGACTTTCGGGTACCCGAAACCGCAAAACCGTGGGTGAAATTTGAGAACCAAAACCGAAAACCGCAGAACCAAAAACCGCGGATATCCGAACCGAAACCGAACCGCTGCCATCCCTAGGGCCGGGCCGTGACCCGACCCGGAATTTGGCCATGTCTAAGCCTAATACAGTTATGTTTGCTAGACAAATAAGCTAGCTTAGCTTATTTGGTTAATTTATAAGTTCTCTATATTCAAATAAATCTCGTTTGGTAGGACGAGATTTTTCAAAAATCCCTGCATTTTTTATTCAGCTAGCTTATCAGCTAATTTTACCAAACACTTTTATTAAATAAGCTAGTTTTTCAGCTATAATCCATAAGCTCGAAAATTACTGATAAACTATCAGCTGACTTATTAGCTACTTTTACCAAACATAGTTGGTTAAATTTAGTTGATAATTAGCGCTCATGATTGAATTTTGAATTTATAGTTTATAATTTTATGGTTAATTAAGGAAAATATAATTGATATATAAGTGAGATAAAATTTGATGATAAGTAAAATGAAATAATAAAATTCAATATAATTTTCTAAAGTCATATTGAAAAAAAAAAACAAAAAAAAAAAACTTATTAAGTAAAGTTTAACATAGGAAATCAAACTTATTTAAATAGAAAACATTTGTAAATTAATTAAATATACTATAATGTGATCTTATGAAATTGAAAATTAGTACAGTTAAATTAAATGAGTTTAGTCCGACGCAAGTTCTAAACCTTAACGAGCAGAGCTGTTACTATGAGAAACCGAGTTTGAAGCATTACTTATTTCATAAAATATGAACACCATTTGAGCTATAACTGTTATTGTAATGAAGTTGTCAAACATTGCCCGGTTATTTCATAAAATGTGAAGGTCATTCGAGTTTGGTTTGTTTGTATACTTAAATGAGAATAGGCCGAACTCGAGCAATTATTGAATTCGTTTAGTAAATATGACGAGCTAGTTTTAGTGAACAGCTCGTTTAAAATTTTAGGTTCGAACTTAAAATATTAAAATGAACTCAAATTCTGACTTTGATTATGCCTGGGCTAGATATATGTGTTTGTCCCTCTTTTATTGCGTTTTTCTTTGTTGTTTTATGTTTCTTTTTCCCTATGTTAGGTCTTTTCGTTGATTTTTAGCTTGTTTTAGTGTTTATTCTGTGTTATTTTTTTATTTCAGTTTTCTTGTGCTTTCCGTGTGTTTTTCCGGTTTTTCTTTATTTTTGGTGTGTAGGTCGGGAGCTTTGGGCAAATTTTATCTTCCTTAAAAATTGGTTTCAAGAGCATAACTGAATAGATGAGCTCATTGGAAACGCACTGGAAAAGCGGAATTGAATTCCGAAGCAGACGAGTCCGAACGAGCCCAAAACGTGAAGTCGTGCAAAGCTGCCAGGGCCTTAGCGCCACTAAGGCCTTAGCGGCGCTAAGGCCATTGGGGATAGCGGCACTTTGTCAGCTAAGCGGGACAGAGCTCAACAGCTAAGAAGGCTTAGCGCCGCTAACCCCTTAGCAGCGCTAAGGTCTGTTTTGTAACAGACGCGATTTCTGCGGATTTTCAAATTGGAAGCTTAATAGATCGAACCCAAGACCCCAAAACGGAGTTTTTCTTAATTTTTTCTACACCATATACGAGAGAAGAGGAGGGTGCTCGATGGGGGAGGAACCCTAGCTCCGAAAATGGACTCCTCCCTCCATTGTTCTTCCTCATTCTTTTTCTCTTCTTCTCTTCTCCTCTTCTCTTCACCCTCCATTTTTATTTTTCTGCTTCTTTTCCACTAGGGATTAAGCTTGTATTTGGAATTCAACACTTGAACTTGGGATTAATTGTAAGTTTTTCTCTTTTTATTCAATTCATGAAAATGGTTGATTTTGAGAGAATGATTGATTGTGTTGAATCGATTCTACATAGCTAATTCTTATTGCTAGGGATAGGGGATGATTGTTCTTGTTTGAATTGAATTTTGTCGGGCTTGAATTGTTCGTTCTTATGTGAGTTGATTTAATTCGGAATTGATGAAATTGAGCTTGATAGTTTGATATAATCGAAGGGTGACACTTCGATCTCGTAATTGGTAACAATTGGATATTGAGTTGTCGAGTTTGGTTTTGTTGATTTTCTATGATTAGTTGATTGCACCTTCTAGTCTAATTAGCGACTTTTAAAACCGAAAGGGGAGAAGTCGTAGACTTAGGCTCACCTGAGGTAGACAATTTCGTAACTGAATAGTCTATAGGTTTTGGGTTGAAATACGCGCTTGTCGATGACTCGTCCCTTGTTACGAAAAGTTATTGGGATGAAATAATTGGCCTGTGGCGTATGCTCGAGTTTATTCCTCTATGTTCAATCCCTTGTTATGAAGAGTTATTGGGAGCGAACCGCTAGATGTCAAAGCGAAAGCGTCAATCTGGAATAGAATGATTTATGTCCCGACTTTGCATATAGAATTTGAATTGATTCCCCGACTCCCTAGCTTCTCCATCTTTACTTCGTTTATCTTTGTAGGTAGATTTATGTTTTTTATTATTTGTTAGCTGATAATTATTCAACCCCCTTATCTGATAGAATGTTTAGGATTTTCTTTCATTTTATGTGTTATCAACACCAAAGCTGAATTCCGAACCGTCTTCCTCGTGAGATCGACCCGGAGAATGAATCTTTCGATTCGGTACTCCGTAAAAATAAGAATTTGTGCTACAACAATATGGAGGCTGATAGCTATCATTATATTTGATTAATTGTTTCTATAATGAACGAGGGGAAAACAGAAACAGGTGCGGTCCCACTCACATGAAGCGCACCATAAGCGGGAAAACCTAGATGAAGCCCAAAATGAGGTTACATCCCAAAACCAATTGGTGGAAGGAGGAGTAGTGCATCCCCTCTATATACAATTCTCTAAGCCTAAGTGGCAGACTCGCATGCTTCAGGATCCTAGGTGTCAAAATTTCATGCTTTATTATTTGGCTTGGATAGATTTTAATTTAATTTCAATCCAAAAATAATTAAGTTCGGATTACCATAAATATGTTGATTTATTTATAATTATTTTAGATGTATTAATTGTATTTTAATATCATTTCTATTATAACTATTGAATTGTAAACGTATTTTAAAAGTTGATAACTTTTGTATTTTTGATTTGTTTTAAATATATAATATATAAAATTAATCATCTTTTGATGAGCTTCGATTTGACATTCATATTGTATATATAAAATAAACAAATTATATTTATTAAAATTTATTAATAATAAAAAATATTTTTCAATTAATATATTTATGTTTAAACAAAATGGCCTAAGAACTTCCGACCTAAAGGACAACTGTAGTAGAAAAGATTCGTCTATTTCTCGAGAAAAAGACAAATTGGAAGCTGAATTGATGCATAACGCGTACCTTCTCCTATGTAGTTATATGTTATAAGTTAAAAAAACTTTTATAATATAACACAGGTCGGTCGCACAAGTAACAAGTGTCCTATTAAAATATATAATAATATAATATTTTTTTATAAAAAGTATTTAAATTTTCAACTACTTTTTCTCATTAACAAATTTTAAGAAAAAATTTCAACAAGCACCCGTGTAACACACAGACGTTGTAGTAGTTAGACTTATAAGGTGAGTCTATTTTTCATGTATGAACGATGTGGAATAACTCGCAAGTGACATTCTAACAGTTTCGTAATATGCTTAGAGGTCGAAGTTTGGATTGTAGGTATTTGAAGTCTAAAAACACTGAATTATCGTATCTGCATAAATATATAGACTATGATATTACAATTTGATCTGCATTCATGTAATAGTAAGCATTTTGACCATAATGTTATTATATTGTGAAAACAAAGTTCACCTGTTTTTTGGTATAGAGAATAACATTTTGACCAAATGCCAATATATTTTAGCAGAGTACCAAACTAATAATGCATAACACATAAAGAATTATTATTATTAATTTTTTTTTTGGTACAGGGACCTTCCAGTTTTCGGATCCACAGAGGAACCGACTAATCCGTAATCGAGTCGGGTAGGTCCACAAGGGAGGCAAAGCTCAACACATAAAGAATCATTTAACTCTACACTTGAAATTATTATATTTTAAAAAAAATCTCATTAATGTTTTGTTTATTTTTGCACGCTAATAGTAAGCAGACCAAACATTTAGAAGATATTAGTAATACTTTTAAACTGAAATATCGTAATCTAAAATATAACATAAATAAAATTACGACCTTTCGAATATTTCATAGCATAAATACACACTTTTAATTGATATAAAATAAATAAAAATGTGACGGACAAACACTTCATCTATTTGTTAACCATTTCACACAATATTTTTTTCTTTCTTATTTTTGTCCAACCTAAAGAATCGATGATGAGGTTAAGGAGAAAACGGCCAGTCAGATAAAAGACAAAACGGGCCCCATCTTATACTATTTGTTTGTGTGAAAGAAAGAGTAACGGTCAAAATAAAGGTACAAAGGCATAGGGCCAATCAAAATTTTATAGTCAATTACTTATTTGAAAGTTACCGGGAAACATAACGGTCCGAATATGCTGATAATAAACCGGTGTATTAATAAACTATAAAGCAAACAAAAAACGTTTGTAAATGCTACAGTCCTGTTACAGAACTATTCCGTAGGAATTTGTAACCGTTTGATCATCATGTAACCGTCGTGGATAGTTGATCTAACGGTTACAAATCCCGTTGGAATGGTTCCGTAACGGTGCGTAGAATCTCCTATAAAAAGTAAGGTAATAAACCGAAGTTTGGTTCTTTAATTTTATTTAAAAAAAAAAAAACAAATATTTATGGTTGATTAATTTGTTGTCACAAATTCTCATATATAACGAGTCAATATATCATACTTATTAGACACAATACATAATTGTATTATGAAATGTCTTTTCTTATATTCAATTGAGAAAATAATTGTGAGTAGCCTGAACTATACGTGATTTTGGGATTTGTAACTTAAAGTTTTTTTTTTTTTGGTAAAATGCAACATGAACTACATACACAATCACTATTTGCACCGTCGACCACATCTTCACCATACACGTGCCCTTTTTTGCTATTGATCGGACGGTCAAAATGTGGTCGATGGTGCAAATATTGATTGTGTATGTAGTTCAGGTTGCATTTTGCCAAAAAAATACTTTATGTTGCAAATCCCAAAATCACGTATAGTTTAGGTTGCTCACAATTATTTTCCCTATTCATTTTGTTTTTTTAGTATACTTAACTTTTGGATAAGATCAAAAAAAAAAAAAAAAACTTCAAGGCATAAAAATTAGAAAAAGTCAAATAGTTTTTTACAATATTTTTTTTGTGGCAAATCTTATTTCACTTTTGTCTTAGACCAAGTCAATATTATTTCTATAAATTTAATGTTCATAATATAAATAAATGTATAAGTATAAATGTAAATTTTTATTATTACGTTCCATAAAGGGTCTAACGGTTAGACTAATCTCGACAAGAAATTGTGATCCTGTTTCCCCTGTGTTTAACGAAATATGCGCGTTTCCCCATTGTGTTTTAAAAACTGCACCAGACCCCCTTGTGTTTAAGTGACCGATGCAAACGCTCCCTTTTTTCAATTTCCTGTTAACGGCGTTAATTTTTATACAAAAACCCCGTTATACCCTTCCAATATTATATATGTATTTACGATAAATTGAATTTCTCACGATATATTTGATATATCGCGAGAAATTGAATTTAAAAAAAAAGGTGGTCCGCAGGTTCGAACCTGTGACCTCACATGAGCATGCAAAGCAAGCTACCACTACACCACTCAAGCTTGAGTGTTAAATGTGGTAAAGTTTAATATACATAGGCATTACATATGGATAAATGAAATTTAATTTAAAAGTAATATAAATCATATTAAATTAAATTATTAAAATATAAAAATATTATAAATTAAAATATAATGAACCAAGTTATATAAAATTAACCAAACGAGAATATAAAAATAACTTATTATATTAAACAAAAACAAAATAATAAAAATAAATTATATTTAAATTTAAAAATCAAAGTTAAAATAATAATATTTATTAAATTATATTCAGATTATTTTTATATTTTATTATTTGTTGTAATTTATATTATTTTATTGCATTGTTCATTTTATATTATCTTAGTTAACAAACTTTATATATTTTGTTTATCTTAAGATAATGTAATCAAATTATGTTAAATTCTAATAATAAAATTAGAAATTAAATTATTTTTTAAAAAATAAATCATTTACTAAAAAAATTATAATTTATTTCGATTTTTTTAGTGATATTGTATGTTAGAGTAAATTATATTAACGTATTTGCTAAATTGTGTTTTCTTTATTATATTATAATAATTTATGATTTTTATTTACTTTAATCTATTTATAACTTATTTGATTTATTATATTATTTTACTTTACAATTATTATAATTTATTATCTTATAATATTTTTATTTTATTTTTATTTAGGGGTGGCTCGTCCACGTCGTGTGATGTCTTAGTGCTCGCTTAGGCTTCGGCCTCTTATATTGTACCAAAAAAAAAATAAACTTATAAATTTATTTAATTTTAATTAATTTTACTATATTAAATTTATCTTACTTTATTTTAATTTAATTGTTACATTATTTTCATGTTAATTTAATTTATTTCAAGTTATTATTATTATTATTATTATTATTAATTATTTAATTGATATTTAGTTACCTTTTAGATTTTTATTTATTTTATTTACTTTAATTTATTATAACATAATAACTTATCTGATTAATTATATTATTTTACTTTACAATTTTTATACTTTATTATCTTATAAAATTTTTAGTTTAATTGTGTTTATTTTATATTTAATTTTATTATCATTTTTTTAATTTAAAAATTTAATAATTAAATTATTTTAGTAATTAAATATTAAAAATTTATTTATCTTTAATTCGTGCTACTATATATTAAATTTAATCTTACTTTATTTTAATTTAATTGTTTCATTATTTTTATGTTAATTTATTTTATTTCAAGTTATTATTATTAATAGTTATTTAATTTATATTAATTTACGTATCATATTTTTATTTATTTTATTTCCTTTATTTTTATTTTATTTAATCATTTCCGTATTGTATTATAAATATATGTATGTTCAATAGATACCACAATAGTTATGTAGCCTAGTGGCTTTTGTGGCATGCTCTCTCTTGGGCATCCTGGGTTCGAGTTCCACTACCTACACTATAAATTTTTGACTTTTTCAATAAGATTCAGGAGGGTAAAATGGTAAATTAATTATTCTGAAAATAGAAAAATTGAATAAATCTCGCAGTTAGAGAAGGTGTCACACACGCGCGGTTAACTTAGACGGAATGGGGGAATCGTGCAACAATTACATAAACACAAGGGGGTCTGGTGCAGTTTTTAAAACACAGTGGGGAAACGCGCACATTTCGTTAAACACAAGAGGGTTTGGTGCAATTTACCCGTGTTTTTTATATGGGCTTTGGCAATTAAAGATAACGCTCTTCGTGAGAAAATTGGGCGCACTGTAATAATAATAAATAATATTAAAGAGAGGAAAGCTAGAGAGAGAAACATTCAAAGGCAAACGAACACCTTACACCCTCGAGTGGCTTCTTTCTTCATCTCCACTTTTATTTGTTTTTTTTTTTTTTTCATTTTTTT